CGGTCCCCGACTCTCCCTTCCGGGAGCACTGTTGCTGCTGGAGGATAACAGCCAGGGACCGGGGGTGCAGGTGTTCCCGAAAGGGAGAGTCGGGGACCGGAGTGCCGGGGCTCACCCCCTCTCTCTGCCGCAGGTGATGGTGTAGCAGCGGCTGCTGCTGGCAGCAGCATCCAGAGCACACGAAGCTGGCTCCCTGCGCCATGGTCACCCACAGCAAGTTCCCCTCCGCCGGGATGAGCCGCCCCCTCGACACCAGCCTCCGTCTCAAGACGTTCAGCTCCAAGAGCGAGTACCAGCTGGTGGTGAACACCGTACGCAAGCTGCAGGAGAGCGGCTTCTACTGGAGCACGGTGACAGGTGGTGAGGCCAACCTGCTGCTGAGCACCGAGCCGGCTGGCACCTTCCTCATCAGGGACAGCTCAGACCAGAGGCACTTCTTCACCCTCAGCGTCAAGACGGAGTCGGGCACCAAGAACCTGCGCATCCAGTGCGAGGGCGGCAGCTTCTCCCTGCAGAGCGATCCCCACAGCAGCCAGCCCGTGCCCCGCTTTGACTGCGTGCTCAAGCTGGTCCATCACTACATGCCACCCACACCCTGCACTGTCCCTGAGCAGCCTGGGGGGGCCCTGCACCCCAAGCGCACCTACTACATCTACTCAGGTGGCGAGAAGATCCCCCTGGTGCTGAGCCGCCCGCTCTCCTCTAGTGTCTCCACCCTGCAGCACCTCTGCCGCAAGACCGTCAACGGGCACCTGGACTCCTACGAGAAGATGACTCAGCTGCCGGCCCCCATCAAGGAGTTCCTGGACCAGTATGATGCCCCTCTCTAAGGAGCCAGCAGAGCAAGGTCACATGCTACAAGCACAAGAACAGGGGACAGGCACAATGCCCCACTGGCACAGGAGCTGGCAGGGCATGCCGAGCCTCTCCATCTGGGAAGGAGAGAGGGGGGAACTGGGGCAAGCTGCCATGGGCTCAGGGCTGTGGCCAGCATAGCTGGGCACCCTCGGTGCTGGGGGGACTCCTCAAGTAAGTGTGACACCTCCTCTCCACAGGGAAGGAGATGGCTCCGACCAGACCGTGGATGCTACCGTGAACCCACTGGCAAAGCCCCTGTGGGCTTGGGCAGCCAGGACAGCTCCCACAGCATGGGGGAACGTGCCAGCCCCATTGTGGGGATGTCCTGGCGAGAGTCCCTTCTACCCCCAGGAATGGAAAGCACTGGAGCCCAGGAGTGCCTGATCACTTTTCCTCAGTTTTAAGGGGAAGGTGTTTTTTGCCCATACTGTACCTCTTGCTGCCTCCTTGTGGGTGAAAGCTCCTTTCACACCAAGCCCCAGACTAAGAAGTCTTTGCCCCGCGTTGCCATTTTCCAGGGGACTAAGCCTTAATATCCTCCCTGCCCCACGGTCTGGGTTAGCGCACGTCCATCGGAGACACTGCGCAGGGACGGTCCTGCTGATGTGCAGTGAAGCTGGAGGGGAAGCGTCACGTCCCGATGCTGCTGAGTCCCACACAACCGCATCTGCAAGGATCACCCCGAGGACGCGGGGCCCTTACTCCCTACAGTCACACCCCACCTCTGCCCAGCCACTCCCGCAGACCCCGCCTGTGCTGCTCTGTAGGGCACCAATTCCTGCAGGAACGCAGCAGGATGATCCCCTGGAGCGTGTCATCTCGTGAGTGCTTTTCTGCGTCCGCCCAGAGAAGTGGTTGGGTTTTCTGGCTTTTTTTAATTTTTATTCTTATTTTTTTAACCGAAGGGATGTTTACAGGCCAACGTGAATCACTGTCTTTTATAAAGATTCCATCTTCACCTCCAGCCTTGAGGGCTGAGCAAAACAATGCTTGAAAATTCAACCAAAACCAAACTCAGATGAAACTTTGCACATATTTATATTTATATTCAGAAAGAAAACGTTTCCATAATTTATAATAAAGAGCACTATTTTTTAATGAAAAACATCAGATCTGGTTTGATTTCTCTCTTGCACCCCTGAGGCCGCTTGGCCCCGGCACAGTGCTGGGATGTGTTTACAGCACGTAAGCACCGTTTCCTGGAGCCGCTGTCCATGCCGGGTGATCCCGCCGGGTGACTCAGCCCGGCGTGCGTAAGCTCTTCCCCAGCACTCAGGTATGTCTGTGCCCTGCGACCAGCCAAGCCACGAGGACAGGATCCACTCCTGGTTCGTGCACATGGTGCAACCACGGGACAGCAGATGTGGCCCTGGGCACAGGAGGGCCCGAGCTGGTGGCCAAGGCTGGCCTGTGGCACGGCCCCAGTGCAGTGCTCGCGAAGGGCCGAGCGAGTCCTGCCTTGTCCCAGCCCTGTTTTGGCACGTGCCAGGGTGAGGAGCTGCAGGAACAGGAGAGGCATGAGCAGGAAAGGGTCTGCAAGTGTCTCCTTTGAGCGTGTACTGGGCTCGGGGTAGGGGCTGACCCCCATGGCACAGAGAGGAAAGCTCTGTCCTGTGCAGAACCCTGGCCAGGCATAGATGCCCGATGGAGAGGATCCAATTCTCCTGGGGATGTCCTTGTCCCCAGAAACACCTGTCCCCTGCTGTTAGGGACATGAAGTAGGCTCAGGAATAAACCTGCAGCTCTGTCTGGCTGGTGTGCAGCGCAGTGTCCGTCTGAAGAGCTG